GGATCTTTAGTGACCACAGAGAGTCAGGACACCCGTTTAATGTCCCATCCGAAAGACGGCACCCTACACAGGGCAATGTTCCCAATAACTGCCCTGGGTAATTGGGATATTTGTTTTCTACGTACTCCCTGTCCGTTTTGGTAAAAAGCTGAGGGATGGAACTGGAGAAATGTAACCACTCCTAAATTTGTAGAAAAAGCTATGGGTGCAAGGACTGACCATCCATGATATCAAAATGATAGCTTTAACAATATTTTGGGCTATATAGTATTTGTTTACATTTACTTTGTTTACAAACATTGTAGTAAAACAAGCTTATATTTTGGGTTCTGATAGGGTATGACAGTTGAACTACGCTCATGAGACATTTATAAGTTATATTCTTCAAGAATCAATGGGTAAAAATGGATGTAGCGACTGCTGATTGCCCTTTAAGCAGTCATGAGGAGGGCTGTGGACATCATTACATTTTGTCTGCCGGTGATTGTCAAGCAAATAACTGCCGGTCTCACAGTAATTTACTGTTAATTAACATAAACACATTTAGCATCTCCTGGCTTCCATACATAGCCTACAAGCCACTGATGCAGACCTTTAGAACATCTACATTTAAAAAGGTCTTAATAAATCCATGTAATATAGCCTACACCTTCACAATAAATCCTTTATCTATTTTAGACAGGTCTAAAGAAATATGATATGAAGAAAATGTAGTCTATTTCAGAAGAACAGAATAGCATACTCTGAGTTGTCCTTATGTTAGGCCCTGATCTGCCTATGCCATATGGCTGTGGGCTTCACAAGTTCATTTAGCAGACAAGATTTGCTTAGAATTCCATGGCATTGGCCTCCCGAGTGGCGCAGCGGTCTTTAGGCGTCACTACAGACCAGGGTTCGATCCCAGGCTGTGTCACAACCGGCCGTGACCGGGAGTCCCATAGGGCGGCGCACAATTGGCACAGCGTCGTCCGGGTTAGGGGAGGGTTTGGCCGGGGGGACTTTACTTGGCTCATCGCGCTCTAGCAGGCTGACTTCGGTCGTCAGTTGAACGGTGTTTCCTCCGACACATTGGTACGGCTGGCTTCCGGGTTAATTGGCCGGGTGTTAAGGAGCGTGGTTTGGCGGGTCATGTTTCGGAGGACGCATGACTCGACCTTCGCCTCTCCCGAGCCCGTTGGGGAGTTGCAGCGATGAGACAAGATTGAAATTGAAAAAGGGGGGTAAAAAATAATAATACAATAAAAAAAAGAAAATCTGTGACATTATTTTATAGTATGAAGAATACCATTGAACATAGCTGAATAAAATAGAAAGGATATTTTCTCCAAACGATTTGAGGGAGTGCGCACATGCGGCTATTCTTTGTTGAGCGGTTAACAAAGGAACAGGTAGTCCTATATGCTTAATTTAGAGTTGATGCGACTGGCATGATCTCAGTTTTGTTTTTTGTGCAGGCTGTACACACTTCATCAAGCACTTGATAATGCCTCGAATTTCCCTGCGCCATCCCCTTTGTGTGGCCATAATGCCCCCTAAAAAAATCCATGCCTTTTGCAGCCAATGGCCGTTGTGCCCTTGGGCTGAATATAATAATTATAATTCTCTTCTCCCAGCTGCGCTGTCACGCCCTGGCTCTGGGGACTCTTTAATGTTGAGCCAGGGTGTTAGTTTCTATGTTTTGTGTTTCTATGTTGGCCGGGGTGGTTCTCAATCAGAGGCAACGTGAATCAGCTGTTGCTTGTTGTCTCTGATTGGGAACCATACTTAGGTAGTCGTTTGGCATTTGTGTGGTGTGGTATCTTGTTCCGTGTTGGTTTGTTTGTTAAACCGAGGACTTCACGTTTCGTTTTGTCATTTTTGTTCGTTGTGTAAGTTCTCTAATAAAATATGTACGCATTCCACGCTGCCCCTTGGCCCGTTTCATCTAATGACGAACGTGACATGCGAGCTCCGAAGCACCATTCACTCACATGACTCTCGGGGACGCAACTGTGCGCGTCCGTATCCAATTCCGAGGCGCATATTAAAGATATTGGAAGAACTGTCCACATTTACTTTTCGTCAGCCAACAAGATGAGTAGGCCTAATGAACAGCAAAAGCACTAGCCCATGTCAATCTACTATCCCCAATCGTACAAAAGTTGACCTATTCTATTCTGTGCGAGAAATAAATATTCCAAACATAGTCTGGGACAGTTGTGGGATGCGATAGATCCCAAATGAATACAACCACTAGCATCAAAAAAACGTTTTTAAGTAATGATGTTGATGCAACAGATCAGAACATTTAGTTTAAAATGATAATAAACTATTAGGCTATTTCCTCACATTATAAGCGCAGCAGTGCGCACACGGCAGTAGGCTATAAGCGCAAATGTTCCATTAGCAGGAAAACACCATTCTAAAAAGTGACTGCAAATGCAATTATGCATGTAATGCTTTTATTATAAAGGTGCATTTTTATGGTGAAAATTATTTTCCCCAAACTTGAAACTCTGTATGTATGCCAGTTAGGCTCTAAACCCGTTGTAAAGCGGATTAATGTGCTTAATTTTAAGAAGTTATTTTGTCACTTTAGTTGTAATACAAACCTTATCAAAACATATAGGCCTCGGCATTACTCTGGACACTGATCTCTCTTTTGACAAACATATCAAGAATATTTCAAGGACAGCTTTTTTCCATCTTCGTAACATTGCAAAAATCTGCAACTTTTTGTGCAAAGATTATGCAGAAAAGCTAATCCATGCTTTTGTCACTTCTAGATTAGACTACGGCAATGCTCAACTCTCTGGCTACCCGGATAAAGCACTAAATAAACTTCAGTTAGTGCTAAATACGGCTGCTAGAATCTTGACTAGACCCGGTCTCGACCTTTAAGTCTTTACTGAAGACTCATCTCTTCAGTAGGTCCTAGTGTAGTCTGGCCCAGGGGTACAAAGGTGAACGGAAAGGCACTGGATTGACAAACCACCCTTGCGTTCTCTGCCTGGCCGGCTCCCCTCTCTCCACTTGGATTCTCTGCCTCTGACCCTTTTACGGGGGCTGAGTCACCGGCTTACTAGTGCTCTTCCATGCCGTCGCTAGGAGGGGTGCGTCACTCGAGTGGGATCTTCCTGGACGGTTTTGCATCCCCTCGGGCTCGTGCAGTGGGGGAGATCTTCGTGGGCTATACTCAGCCTTGTCTCAGAGTAGTAAGTTGGTGGTCTGTTGATATCCTTGTAGTGGTGTGGGGACTGTGCTTTGGCAAAGTGGGTGGGGTTATATCCTGCCTGGTTGGCCCTGTCTGGGGGTATCGTCGGACAGGGCCCCCCCTGTCTCAGCCTCCAGTATCTATGCTGCAATAGTCTATGTGCCAGGGAGCTAGGGTCAGACTGTTATATCTGGTGTAATTATCCTGTCTTATCTGGTGTCCTGTGTGAATTTAAGTATGCTCCCTCTAATTCTCCCTCTCTCCCTCCCCTCCCGGATGACCTGAGCCCTAGGATCATGGCTCAGGACTACCTGGCCTGATGACTCTTGGCTGTCCCGAGTACACCTGGTCGTGCTGCTGCTCCAGTTTCAACTGTTCTACCTGCGGCTACGGGACAGCCAGGAGTCACTGACCTGTTCACCGGACATGCTACCTTGTCCCGGACCTGTTGTTTTCGACTCTCTCTCTCTACTGCACCTGCTGTCTCGACCTCTGAATGCTCGGCTATGAAAAGCCAGCTGACGTTTACTCCTGAGGTGCTGACCTGTTGCAACCTCTACAACCACTGTGATTATTATTTGATGCTGCTGGTCATCTATGAACGTTTGAACATCTTGAAGAACAATCTGGCCTTAATGGCCGTGTACTCTTATAATCTCCACCCGGCACAGCCAGAAGAGGACTGGTCACCCCTCAGAGCCTGGTTCCTCTCTAGGTTTCTTCCTATGTTCCTGCCTTTCAAGGGAGTTTTTCCTAGCCACTGTGCTTCTACATCGGCATTGCTTGCTGTTTGGGGTTTTAGGCTGGGTTTCTGTATGTGACATCTGCTGATTTTGATTTGAAAAAGTGGCAAACAAAAGGCATGGCTGTTTCTTGCCTTAAGCTGAGCATCATTCACAAGTGATAATATATAATTCACAAGTAATAGGCTAATATTGTGACCCATCAGACTATTCTTGATTTAATCTTGTCTTTACATATACTAAATAATATATTAGAATGGACCATTATCATGCACCTGTCTTGAAACATGGGCAGGGGAAAAAAATACATATTTAAATATCGAATGGAGGACGCTATTCCCGTGGTTTATTTTCATGCCAGCCAGGTAGGCTACACTCCTGTTGTAAAGAGAAGCAATGTGATTAATATTAGGAAAGTTGAGAAATAAATATAGTAGGCCTAGCCTATAGAAAGCTGATGGGATCCTCCTCTTTTTAGTAGAGGCCATCACTCTGTTTTCTCACGCAATTGCATAGCCTATAGAAATGTTGCGCAACATGAGCTCATGGGCTCTCATGAATTGATTGATTAGATTTTTGATTACATTTGCATTGATGTCAGAGAGATTAGAGGGACAATAGAGTGCTGTGTACCAGGCAGTTAGCTAGTTTGGTAGGCTACTAATGACCATCAGCAGCATCAGAGCTTGGAGAAGCCTAATTACCATGACTAAACGGTCATGTGGAATTTGACTGCCGTCCTGACTCGTGACCGCCGGTGTGGCGGTAATATGGTCACCGTAACAGCCCTAGTCATTAATAACTTTAGATAAACAAACCTGTGATGATTTAACAGTGAACACCTGTATTTTTTACAAACATTTTCTCAAGGTCCTAAAGGAATTTCAGGAATCTGTTTACCCATTGACTACAACTGCGGCAGAGCCCCAAGCCTAAGGCACCTTTACGGAGAAGTACACCTACTCCTCTATATCACTTACTCAAGGTCACTAATTAAAATCAAAAATATTGCTCTTCTGCCTGTCAATTGGCTACTGTCTAATGCAGCTCAGTTACGTGATTGGTCAGACGTCATGAGGTGTTACTTTACCTCCAATGGCGTTACACCTGGAGGTGATCTCCCACAGTACCAGGGCCATGGAGTAGACGTCTGTCTGCTTGAACGACTCAATGTTCTCCAGGTTAATTCTGGACTCCAGCACCTCAGGAGCCATGTACCTGGCAGTGCCCACCTGTAGGGTGAGACCAACAGGGACAAGATGTTAGCCTACTCAGTGGATCATTATCAAAACTGTTCTGTTCTATTCTATTCTACTCTGTTTTGTTCTGTTCTGTTCTATTGTATTGTATTCTGTTCTGTTCTATTCTACTGTATTCTAATGCTTTTTACAGTAGAATATGCATGATTGCTTCCAGAGGTAGTACTGTACAGTACCATGTACCACTACAATTCAATTGCAGTTTTAACTGACAGCCTGGGCTGATACATTTCTTCCCTGTTTCTCCCCCCACTGTATTATAAAACATTAAAGAAGAGACAATGGGTGCATTAGACACCAAAAGGGCACCCTCTAAAGAAGCTCATCACAATGACTAAGTTTCATAACAAAGTCACAGTGACCCTGTCCTATTACTGTACAACAGTCTAATGGCTCGATTAGAACTCATCAGGCCTGTTTGTCTAGTTACTGTAACAAAACAGAAGGCCTAGCAGCACTTGCTCTATGGATATTATTAATATGTTGTCTAGAGAAGGAGAACGTAAGAGAAAGTGAGACAGTCTGAAATGGCACCCATTTTGGATGCACCATAAGTAGAAAGGAGAGACAGGAGAGAAGAATCTGTACCTGTCCACTGTTGGCCAGCTCGTCCACAGACAGCGAGTTGTCCAGACGCAGACCCAGTCCGAAGTCACACAGGACGCAGGTGAGGTCCCCCTTCACCAGGATGTTGGAGCTCTTGATGTCCCGGTGGACGATGGGCACCTTGTAGCGTCCGCACAACGTGTGGTCACTGTGCAGGTGGGCCACGCCCCTTGCCAGCGACCCGCCCAGCACCCACAGGTCGTCCCAACTGATGACGTTGCGCGTCAGGTACTCCTGGAGGTTGCCCCGGGGGTGGTAGGCCGTGATCAACCAATACTGTTTCTCCACCTTGTGGTCCTCTGCAGTCAGGAAGTGCAGGACATTCTCGTGGCGCAGGTCGGCATCCGAGAAGATGTCCTTCTCGTTCTTCCACGAGGCATATTCCTCGTGGGCGAAAATCTTGACGGCAACGGTCTCGAAGTGCTCGCCGGCCCCCGTGGCGCCCTGCTTCAGCTTGGCCTTGTAGACCTCAGCGAAGCGGCCCTTGCCCACCTGGGCGTCCAGCTCGATGGGAAGGAGCTCCATGTTGTGGTTGAGGTTGTTGGCGTGCGTGGAGCTGCTGTCCGAGCCGTCGTCGTCCATCATGATGGCACGGGCATCACTGAAGTCGAGAGGCGTCTTCTTGCGCTTGGCCCCGGCGCGGCGCTGGTGGTAGATGCGGTACCAATAGAAGGATGTGATGACCAGCACAGCCAGAACCAGTAGAGGAACCAGGCTGACCAGGATCACCGACACCACTTGGGAGTCCAGGGAGTCTGGGGTGGAGAGGAAAGACAAGCGAGAAAAAGAGACAACAAGGTAGATGTTATAGATGAGTTATACAACACATAGCATATTCAGTAGAAATATTGTAGAATTGACCTATTCTGTAACATACAGTAGGCCCGCTCCCCAGTTAGGTATATTCTACAATATTTATACAATTATACACCTTTACAATATTAGAACTCCTCAGCCATCATGCTCTACTCTAAAACGTTAGCATTTTTTTTCACAATGGCCTTTTCACTCACTATGACTAGCTGGACTGGCCACAAAGGTGATGATCGAAGAATAGTCTGTTTGTTCATTGGCCTTAAGAACCAAATGCATAGAAAACAATGACCACAAAGGACTATGTGGGATACATGACATGTGCAGTAGCCTATACTTTGACGTTTGACATTTCAGTTGAACTTGCAGTACATTACACTCCTTCAGCACTAGGAAATCAATAGGAAGTAGCCAAGTAGCTACAGTATATCGTCTCAGAGCATCCTGCTCCTTTTCAGCAAAGCAGAGGAACCTAACATTTCCATGAGGAATGTCAGAAAGCATCTCGAAGCGACGACGCTGAAGTTAGCTTGTTGGTCTGTTAAACACACAAATAGGCTGAACCATGCTCAAGTCAACCACATATTGTGTTCCCTTTATAGACCTAGTCTATGTCTGATTCTTATACTTTTAAGGAGTGATGTCGGCGTCTGCTAGACCGAGTAATCTGGTGAAAGTTTATGTATATGCTATGTTTATAATCCTATTTCTGGGGAAGGCAGAAGTCTCGTAAAAACATAATAAAACACAACAAAAGTCTCGTATGAAAAAATAAAAATAAATGTATGCACTCACTAACTGTAAGTCGCTCTGGATAAGAGTGTCTGCTAAATGACTAAAATGTAAAATGTAAACATGTCACGCGAAATCCCAGATCCCAGATCAGTTAGGATTTAAGGGTCGTAAATGAGTCATTAACACGTCCTCTGAACAGTCAGACTGTGACAAGTGCTGCTGGGGTTCTATAAATAGGATTGTGTTTGTGTGTGTGTGCGTGAATTTGTGTGTGTGTGTGTGTGTGTTTGTATGTCTATAAATGTGTATGTGCATACAGAACAGCAAGTACCCGTCAAGCCCTCACTCACTCTCTCGCTCCTTTTTTTCAGACAGGAAAACACATGTCTGAAATCTTCAACGTGGCCTCAGTGGAGTTTGCTTTCTTTTTCGCAGAGCGAGAGAGAGGCAACCTGTCCCTGTGCCTGTGCCATCTCTCAGTAGATACGGCCCACAGAGGAAAGGTTCCTAGTTCCTACCCCCGCTTGGGGCCAGGTTCGAGAATTTCGATTGTATTAATACATGCATAAGCTGTTTTTTTTTACCATTAATTTATGTTAGTTACGTACACTGCTTCAAGTTATCAGTATTGTCATATGTTATGTGGTGAATATGAAGTTAGACGGTGTGCAGCAGAGCTATCCATCCTCCATGGTGAGGGGAAATGGTTTTCCATGACGTCGTTGTTCGCGATGTGCAGATACTTTCAACTTTGGGCCCTGGAAAGTCAGGTCTCGGAAATGTATCTCTGTCTTATTACTGCTTGGATGCTGTAGTCAAAATACATTTGATTCCAGAACCAAGATTATAACGAAAGACTACAGCCAAAATGCCTCCACGATGCAAAACCTGTTTGCAATCTTGTATTTGGAGGGTGTACAACAGTACACACATGTTAGCATTCATGTGTGACACCTTACATGAATTGCATAAGCGTTGTTGTGTGAGTTACATCAAAAGTGGTAAACTACATGATCAATTGTAATACCTAGCCTACATAACACATGGCATAATAGGTGACATAGCACCACATAGGGACTCACAGAAGGTGAAGAAGACACGGTCGTTGCACTCGTATGACCAATCATAATGCCTACAAAAGGCTATCTTGAGCATGACCTAACAGGTGACATCGCACTACACAGCAGGTGACATAGCACTACATAGGGACTCACAGGGGGTGAAGAAGAGGTGGTTGTTGCACTCGTCCTCGGAGCAGGAGCAGATGAAGAACTGGGAGCCCATGCCATTCCTCTCCCTCATCTCACACTTGCTGTTGTTATAGTCCTCCAGCACCAGACCATGCAGCTTTTGGGCTGGGTTGTGGCATATCGTGTCTATGGTGACATTGTCATCTTTCTTCCTCCTGGAAACATGACAACAGGAGCCATTAGTTCCACTCCAATTAATTTGTATGAAACTGAGATATTTAAGCTAGTGATAAATACAGTAATAAAAGGAAAAATAACTTTTAAGAATTAACAAACCGCAGTATAAGCATTAAAGTAATGATTTGATACAGAGGTCAAGTTACGTTGTACAGAATGTATCCCCCAGTTACAAAATACCACCATACACGTGCAGTGAATAATCCTGAAGGTGCACAAATGGACCTACAAATGGGCTACTCAGGTCTCCTGCTGGGTGGTGTGGAGCTTATGTAGTGAAACCCATTTTAAGAGGTGTTGCTGTGAACATGGCATTAGGAGTTCTGCTGACTTCAGCTCCTAATGCTGTAAATGTAATGCGAAACAGTGGCATTGCCTTCAGCTTCGAACAGGAGGCCAAATCTAGTTCTCCACTTTTTTAACATTCACAAGGCAAATTTCGCAACTATATTTGGTGGGGTTAGTGGGTGGGGCACTTTTGGGTTTAGCTACTTAGCTAAACCTTGTTCACGGCAAATGTCGTTTTTAAATGACAAATCACCAAGCAAGATTATTAATTTCTGCTCTGTCACTCACTAACATGGTCATAGTGTGTCACTGTACCCACTACCCAGCATGCTCTCCTAAGGTCAAGTTTAAAGGTCATTCCAACTCCCAATGAGAGATGATGAGGGGTGCTGTAGTCACTCACCAAATGCTGACACACACGTCCTCTAGATGGGGGCAGATGGCTGTGATGCTACAGTCGGTCATACAGCTCCCTGTGCCCGTACAGCTGGTAGACTCAACGTCACAGAACTTACACAGACGCTTCAGCTTCAGCATGCTCAGTGACGAGGCCCCTGAGGTGGAGACACAAGGAGATAGCGGGAAAGACATTAGATTGATAGTTTACAAAGGGATATGGTTACTTAGTTAGTTCAATTAGGTTACTCACGTGTCGTCAAATATGTTCACTCTTCACTGCAACACTTTACTTCACTATTACAAATGAGTACAGTTCACTTTGAGGGTCTAAAACATAGGATAAGAACTTTGACCGGGATTCAATTTGATCGCGCTCGAATGCAGCTTTTAAAGGCAATGTTACTGTGTTCACAGAGATCGCATTCGAGGTAAACGCTGCAGATGTTGGCTCAAATGGAAATTACCTTTAAATGTTTTGGATTGAACCTTGTCCATTGTTTGCTTTCACATATAGGCCTAAACTGTATTGACCCAACGAAGATGATAACTTTGCTCGACTTAGGTAACTGACATTTCCCTCCAATTACACAGACAAACAAAAGGCTACAAACATCAGAAAGGCGATCTTTCTCATCTAAGATATTACATATTAATATGAACATTTCCTACACTGGAAGAGTATGGCCTGTTGAACATCAGTGAGTATAGTGAAACCTTAACCTCATATCTCAGTCCAGACTACGTGAAGGAATTTATCATTAGTGAGAGACTTGACAATTTCACTTTGAAAATAGAAAATTGAAACAGATGAAAGGAATGTTCTCTTCGGTACTATGTATCTAAGTCTAATTATTCCAAAATACATTTTTCAAAGCAAGTAATACATTTGTGTTTATGTGTTCTTCTCCAATTCATTCTCCAATTCATTCATTACACTGTAACATGTACATTCATTTTTAAACCATATGTAAACTATTTCCCTAGAGTGTAAATTCTACTGTGAACAATCAGCACATTCTGCAGTGCCATCTATCTACTATGGTCGTGTTCAGACTTGACTTCACACTCAGACTCAGTGGTGTGATGAGTGCCTGTGTGAGTTTGATAGTCATCTCTACTGAGACAACCGCTAGACAGACAAAAAAACAAGCAACGGGAAATTTGAACATCAGTATATCTTTCAGTCGAGTAGTCTCTAATTTGCCAATTTGATTAGTTGCTGTCTTGCCAATTCACTTTGTGAATATCAAAAAGCAGGAGATAAAGTTGGAGCGTGTGTTTGTGTGTGTGTGAGAGAGAGAGAGAGAAACAGCGAAAGAGAGAAATAATAGAGTGAATAAATGTGTGGGTGCGCCCATGTGTGTGTTTGCGTGTGTGCGTGTGTGCTCATGTTTTACACCCAAATAAATGATACTGGTTATCTGCCTGTCCTTGCACTGCATGTGCTGCTCCTGATAACCATTAGACTGCATGCTACTGTTTGGCTGATGTAAGCGGATACAAATCTCAGACACATGGCAACAACTGGAGTCTAACTCCTACAATCCCAATGAGTATGAATGCTGTTTTCACCACAATCACCATAGTGAAGTATGTGGGAACAGGGATCTTTTGGCTGCGAGATGGGGAGAGGACATCTCTATCTCTCTTGACTTTATCTATGTATGCAAACATTATTCAGCCCCAACCCCATAGGGGTCGCGTTATCATATGAAGACTTGGTCCAACTTTACACACTGGTTGCGTCTGAAATGGCATCCTATTCACTATATAGTACACTACTTTTGACCAGGGCCCACAGGGTTCTGGTCAAAAGTAGTGCACTATAAAGGGTATACAGGGTGCCATTTTGGATGCACAGGGTGCCATTTTGGATGCAGCTACTGTCTCTTTAGTGAATAGCCGTACTGTATCGTTGGTGAGCGTAACATAGTCCCTACCAGCAAAAATGTGTAATTTACTTTTGCTGGGTTATGTTTGTCCACCTGTTACAAAAGCTAATCATAATTCAGAGAGTTATGCTTTGGAGGGTGCCAGTGAGCGGTTGATTACCTTACATAAATGTTTTTCTGTAGTTACTTAATTGCCGCAATAACATGTAGACAGCACATTTCGAACACAAAATCAACTATAGCCCCAAAACAGTCCACTTTGGTTAGCCTGTAAGGCTAAGGTAGGATGGATCCAACAATCTTCAGGACTTTCTCACTGAGGGGTTGGAAAGTGAGAGCAAGAGAGAAAGAAAATGCAAGAGAGAGAGAAAGTTAAAGATTTTGCACCCAACTGCCAGATCACTCCCTTCTTTTCCATTTGCTCTCCTTCCAGACCTTTATGGAGAGTCTTTAGCATTAATAAAAACTGAAACTGACCGAAATCAGATGTTCCTAATTGCTAAAACAGAGATGATGTGAAATGAAGTAAAAAGAGATGGTGGGAGAGATCTACCACATAACCACAAGTTTAAGTGTGACAGACTGCACACATAGGAAGAGAGTTCAACCTTTTACTTGCATCATCAGCGTCCTCGTGACACAACCGATAGTGAAAGTGGGTTATTGGCCGTTAACTGGGCCTGTCTGCATGTACAGCTCGAGGATTTCCTCTTGAAGAATTTCAGTCGCAGAGAGCTAAGTTCAGCCAAGCGAAATGGGGAAGGATTGGGGCAGCGTCCCAAATGGCAGCCTATTCCCTATATAGTGCACTACGTTTGATCAGGGCCCATAGGCTCTGGTCAAAAGTAGTTTACTATATAGAGAATAGAGCACCATTCGGGACGCAGCCTGGGTCTCCGCTGTATTTGACCGGCTGGCAGGGGGCGAACCTGATAGAGCTAATTTGTCAGGTCACGTGACCAACCATAAATAATCACCCCTCTTTCTCTAAAGTCGGTAGAGGAGAGAGAGCAAATAAGGTTCTCTTCCCTCCAACTCTCTCACAGCGCAGTAGTCTACTGTATTGCTCTATGCCAGAGAATATCAAGGTAACTGACTTGAGAGAATGTTGTACTCCTGTACCAGGACAAAACGCCTAGTGTAGCTGTTCCCAATCTGCAGGGTGGAGTAGAGCTGCGGCTTAAAGCAACAAAAATACAACCTGCAAGTCTGAAAACCAGAGAAACTGGAGCAGATCTAGAGAAGCCACATCCACTGCAGCTGGCAGCATTCATAAGGCAGTATAGACAGTGAAGTAAACATGGTGTCAGGATATTGCAGATGGATATTAGGCTATATTCTGTTATTCCTATTTATAGGGTGTAGTGTACATGTCTGACTTGCTAAATCTTAAGCAAACAAATAAAGACATTACATTTAAGTTCTGCAGAGGAGTACAATTTTGAATTTGGCCAGAGGTGAAGTTTGTAGTCTGTTATAGGGTTATAACAGAACAGCTAAGAATGATATTGGGCTGAGAGCTGGTAGTAGAGAGAGAGGTGGTAGAGTTAGGAGTAATTATATCATTAGAAAAACTCCTCTCAAAGTGTATGTCATTTAAGCCCAAGGAGGCGGGCAATGGTGTGGATGAATGCTGGTAATTGTCACCCAGGGCAAAATATGATTGCAGGGAGAGAGGATTATAAGAAGTCAAAGCTGTTTGGTGCCATTGGGATTGGGTTGGAGTTGGAGACAGGGGCAAATAGATTACAATTTCTGATGTGTCTACCTTGCAAATGATAGACCAAATATAATTCCCACTTCCAGTGTCAACAATGCACATCAGAATGAAAAGTCCCATTGGTAGGACCACCATGCATGTTTTCTATCACAACTGGTGGTGTAGATAAACCTCCTCCCACTGTGTTAAGCAACCACTTCAATACACAACATATACTGTACCTACTTCCTCTTTACAGAAACATCATGGCGCTCACTCAAATGCTTTTCTGAGGTGATTTCCTCTTGGAAAATACTAGTGCTCATTGAATTATTGAACATAGACATTATGCTCATACATTCCACCCCCAGTTTAGTAAAAAATGAGGATGAGGGTATAACGTACCACAGTTCCTGAATTCCTGATATTGAACAACACTGACTGCGTAATTTGCATACATTAAATACTACTATGCATAGAAATTCGCAGTAACACCAGCCAATATATTTGCGAGTTTTAACTCAAATGAGCTGAACATTTTGCCTTCCACCAAAATGTATAGTTTTATGGCTGGATTTTGTTTGACCACCTGCTACAAAAATCTGAATGACAATTTAGAAGGTATTACTTGGGGAACAAGAAACGTGTCAATGTTCGTTACAATAACCTCATAAATGTTTCAATAATTACTTTATTACCTCGATAACACTAACCAACCACCAACATTCATAGGTTACTTTAAATAAAGTTATAACTCACCCTTCTGTTCTAGCAGAATACTACCAAACAGTATCGTTCCACACCAGAAAGCAGAAAAACGAAGTAGCTCCATTTAAAAACGGACTATAAACTCCTCTTCTTTTCATTTACTAAAACCTTGATAATAGTAAATATCCAGACTTTAATTCGAGACGTTCTTCGGATTTTCTTCGGTCTGCCTGTTGCTATCATGCGCCTCTCAGGCGGCCTCCGGTTACAAAAGTAAATAGTGCAGGCAGAACTTGCCGTATATGAGTCAGACAGTATGTATGCACTTTTCATGAAACAGGAAATCTTCAGAAAGGGCAGGACTGTTTTTTTCTTCTTCTCTAGGCTACTTCTGAACTTCTGGGCTTGTGGCTCACTGGTCTTGAAACATGTTATTATGAGCACAAAACTTATAGCAAGGCAAAACTTGAAATGACACGCTCCAAAATAGATGGCAATGATTTCAAAATAAGTGAGGATAAGTATACATCCAAACAAAACATATAAACTTAACACCTCTCTACTTACAATTATGCAACATTCTTGACATTTTTACACACTTCACTGTACCATTTACCATAACACACAAATTATTGATCAAAGTTGTGTCTGATGTCAGCAAATGTATGACACAATTACATAACTTCTTTACTTGCTTTACTAGCACTTTTTCACATGGACCTCTGATACATTGTCCCCCTCCTGCATATCTCTCTTCCTGAGGAAAGCTATTATTCAGGAAAGACAGTGGAGGTGGTGAGTGGCCTGAGTGGCTCCTTGATGTTCCTCTGTGTTGGTTTGATGGGTGGCACTCAGGGGTTAAATCTACTGTAACACCCATAAATGACTGGTTTATTGCTGGGCTTCCCCAGCATATGTTTTCGCTTGGCATACTAAAGCCATGATGTCAGGCTTCAGACCTGACCTTTTGAACTCTCTACAGATGTCGTCTCTACCTCTCTACACAATAAGGTATGGCTGCCTTTCATTGCAGTGCAATAAAACTCACGTAATACACTCATAATAGTTATTTTTCTGTATTTATCCCATTGAGGAGATTTTCTGTATAAAATATGATTTGTTTATAGTGTGCAAACCTTTACGTTTTGTGGTGAGTGTGTGTTTTTGTCTGTGTGTATACTGTGTTAAAAATATGACAAACACACACACATACATACAGTATGCACGCACGCACACACACACAGACACACACACACAGCTTTACACACACACTTATACTGTACATACAGTACATATGCACGCAGCACTCGCTTGCACAGGGCCGGCTCTAGCCTTTTGGGGGCCCTAAGCAAGATTTGCTAAACATTTTAGTGGCCACCTCTTGACGGTGGTGAGAACATTTTTAGTTTTAATGTTAATTTCCTGCAATTCTACACATTTTGCCATGGCGCGTAGAGAAAATGTTGCAGTTTTAAAGCAAGTTTTATGCATTTCTACACATTTTGCCATGGACGGAGAGAAAACCTTGCAATTTAATAACACATTTCCTGCAATTTTGCGGGCATAGAGAAGAAATGTACAGTTTTACAGCAAATGTCCTGCAATTCTACCCATTTTGCCATTGGGTGGAGAGAAATGTTTGCAGTTTTAAAGCACATTTCCTGCAATTCTATACATTTTGTAATGACTTAGGCAATGTTAGTATGATATCTGAGTGAGAATGATTAACAAAATCAAAGGGGGCCCCTGGAGGTTTGCCCCTTAGACAAACTACACTGTTAAAATGAAGTGCTTTGAAACACGAAAACTAGTGGCAACAGAGCTGCCACCACCTTAAAGGAGACAGAACCTTAACTTTGCTGGAGTATTGAAACACATGGGTGTGAGGGTATTGGGACAGATTTTTAGGGACATTTCCAAATTTGTGTACCTATGATGAAAATTACAGGCCTCTCTCATCTTTTTAAGTGGGAGAACTTGCACAATTGGTGGCTGACTAAATACTTTTTTCCCCCACTGTATGTTGATGTTTGGGTGGTGCTGGAGATTATGAATATGACGTTGACATTTTTAAAAATGTCCCTTTAAGGTGTACTGAAACATTCATCCTGAGGTGTTCTGAAACATGACATGGTAGGTTGAAACGCCACTTAATCAAGAGTTGTGCAACACCTTGCCAGAGACTTGGAGCACTAACCCAGAAAAGGTTGAAAACACTATTATGGTGTTTTGAGTCCTGTGTAGTGCAGAATTAGATCCCTTCTCTTTTGGTGTTGTTTACGCTCTCTAAAGCTCCTAAACACTATGATGGTGTTACAAGTCCTGTCTAGTGCAGAATTAGAACCCTTCTTCTGGAGTTTCCAAATACTGTAAATACTGATTAACTCCTCATCAGTAATTCCAAAAGGTCCAATGTACAGTATTATGCTCAAACAAAGAACACAAGAAAATATAGTTTTGTGAAAATACTAATTAATAAGTTTGTCCAGGATAATAATTATTGTGTACAAAATTACTTTTTCAAGACATGATTTGAAGCTTGAAATGCTTTCTCTTTTCTTTGCAACTGATCAAATGACAACAAAACATTAACAGGTCTTTCACATTTTCTGTATTTATAAAGTAAGACAGTTCAAAGAACTGTAAGGTATTTATCATATTCATATTCTTCCAAATCAACGGAAATATGGCATTATATTTCACATTCATGGCAAAACAATACAGGCAATGACTGCTAACGATAGCAGTAGCACATACAAAAATTGTACAAAACTTCAGCCCACGGCTCAACGCAATCCACCAGTCATCCATCATGCGAATGCATCTGACCTGAGTCTTTATATTCAGATGATGGTACATGGCATGGAAAGTTGTTTGGATGGAATCACAGTACAGTTGATTTGATTGACAGTTCAGTTGACATTAGTCTGTGATTCTTATCTTGATTGGCTTTGGTTAGGACTGGCCAGACGGTGGGTAACTTAGTTTGTATGTATGTTTCATTCTGCAGGGAGACAGAGAAATAGTAAATAATAATAATAATGATATTACATTAATGCGTAATTAGGTCACGTACATTCCCTTATATCAGTCATCAGTCAAAAATAATGTGTGTTCTCCGGCTCCTGAAATCTGCTCCTGCATTCATCCCAGTCATCAGCAGTAGAGCATTGGGATAGGTGCATGTCTGACATCAATGTGTGCGCAATTACAATGATAATTTGATATGGTCAATTTCACCAAAATATACATAACATAAACATACTGTTGACACGTAGGCTATGGTGTAATGGAATGTTTTGCCTTGTGTGGTAGGTTTTGTGGGTTTTGACAGTCTTATGTAGGTGTCATAACCAGCCATAAAATAACGCAATATATGTCACAACAGGTCTAAATATATGTGTCATGACAGTGTTATGACATATTATAAACAGGTTATGACAAGTTATGTCAGCTGTTATGACATATTATGACATGGTTATGACTGTGTCATAACGTGTTATGACGCTGGGTGTCAAGTAAAGTGTTACCACAATATGTCAAAAATGGGATGCAATAACATGTGTTGTGGTAGGCCAAAGTTTTAAAATATTTTTTCATTTATCTCACAAATATATTTAAAAGTATGAATTAAGGTGTCTGTAGACATTAATAAATGCATTTCTATAGCTTCCAAAATATGTTTTACAATGGTGAGGGTGTACCAAGATGGAGGTGTGGTGCCTTCAACACAGCGCCTCTGTCACGCCCTGGCTCTGGGGACTCTAGTATGTTGAGCCAGGGTGTGAGTTTTCTTTTGTGTTTGTTCTAGTTGTTGTATTTCTATGTTGGCCAGGGTGGCTCCCAATCAGAGACGGCTGTAGCTCGTTGTCTCTGATTGGGAGCCATACTTAAGTAACCGTTAGGCATTCATTTGGTGTGGTTTCTTGTTCCGTGTTGGTTTGTGTATGTAACCAGGGAGTCACGTTTTCGTGTGATACTTTATAAAAATAAATATGTTCGCATTCCACGCTGCGCCTTGGTCCTCCTCTGTTCCCGACGATCGTGACAGAAGAAACCACCAAGACTGGACCAAGCAGCGTGTCCAGGAGCCATCGCCAGGGAGATCTCTAGCAGATCTCCTTCGCCTCCTCGACTGGGTCAAGCCGGGTGAGGAAGAGAAGGGCCGGACTTGGAAGCAGAAAGGCGAAAGTCTGGCGAGGGACATGGAGACCTGGTCCACGGGTAGGAGAGACGCCCAGAAATTTTTTAGGGGGGGGCTCACGCCGTGGACGACGGGGCAGCAGGGGGCCGCGATGGAGCGGTTAGTAGAGGAGGCCGCCAGGTTACGGGGGCCACTGGTCACTAAAGGGGAGGAGAGTGTAGAGGCACGGCGAGAGGTACTGGGGTGTGTTACCAGTCCGGTCCGGCCCGTTCCTGATCCCCGCGTAGGGCCAGTGGTGTGTGTCCCCAGTACGGTCCGGCCTGTTCCTGTCCCTCGCACCGAGCCTGCGGTGTGCGTCGCCAGCCCGGTTCGGCCTGTCCCTGCTCCCCGCACCAAGCCAATGGTGCGCGTCGTCAGCCTGGTCCGGCCTGTTCCTGCTGCCCGCACCAAGCCAATGGTGCGCGTCGCCAGCCCTGCCCGGCCTGTTCCTGCTCCCCGCACCAAGCCAATGGTGCGTTTCGTCAGCCCAGCTCGGCCCGCTCCTGCTCCCCGCACCAAGTCAGTGGTGCGCTTCGTCAGCCCGGCTCGGCCCGCTCCTGCTCCCCGCACCAAGTCAGTGGTGCGTTTCGTCAGCCCAGCTCTGCCCGCTCCTGCTCCCCGCACCAAGTCAGTGGTGCGCTTCGTCAGCCCGGCTCGGCCCGTTCCTGCTCCCCGCACCAAGTCAGTGGTGCGCTTCGTCAGCCCGGTCCGGCCCGTTCCTGCTCCCCACACCAAGCCAGTGGTGTGCGTCGTCAGTCCGGCACAGCCCGTGCCTGTTCCACCGGTGCCTGGTTCAGCACGGGTCAGCTGCTTCACGCCGGAGCTAGAGCAATCCGCTCCACCAGTGTGCAGTCCAGCTCCGGTCAGCAGGGCCAGACCGGACCAGGGGTACTTTGGGGGGTTAGAGAGGGAGTGGGGATCATGCCCGGAGCCGGATCCAC